GGGTCCTGAGACCGTGGCCATAGGCACCGCCAGTCCAGGAGGGCCTGTCTGTCGGTCCACAGCCATGCACCAGGCACTGTGCTAAGTGCTCGGGATACAAAGAAAGGCAGAAACACGATCCCTGCCCTTAAGGAGCTCGCAGCGGATAAAGCGCTGGGCCTGGAGTCAGGAAGGCTCAGACACTTACCAGCTGGATGACTCTGGGCAAGTCACCTGACTTGTTTACCTTGGTTTCCTCATCTGTAAAAATGAGAGTCTCGGACTCAGGACCTCCAAGGTCCCTTTTCAGCTCCAAATGCACGGTCCCAGAACCGCTTGAGGGCCCGCTGCCAGCACCAACATCATCCCCTGCCCTCCCTCGCTTCCTGTCAGGGTCTCTTCTCCCCTCGACGTTTTGCTTTCCCACAGCGCCAAGCACAGCACTATGCCTCTACCGTCATCACAGGACGGCATTTTAACAGACGGGGCCTGGAGGCTTCTATCCCCAGCCCCCTGCGTTCACAGAGGCCTAGGGAGGTGTCACGGCCGAGGGGGGCAGAGCCAGACGCCTGCCTCCACTGTCCTGCCCAGCCCGCTTGGCCCTTGGCCCCGGGAGACACCCACCTATTCCTGGTTGGGGGCCTGTTTTCATCCTGAATAGAGGAAAACCGTTTCTTCCTCCGGCGGTTCCTCTGAGATGGTGTTTTGGGCATCAGCTCAGGCTCCACACTGAAGTCACTGACGGGCAAAGAGGAGAAAGGAAGAGTCACAGAATATCTAAACTGGTCCCCTCCCCATCAGCAGCTCCTTCGGCCTCGGCCTAGAAGGGCCGCTGGGCCTTCCTGCTTGTCAGAAAGGAGGGCAAATCTCCTCCCACTCTACCCCTACGCACCAGCCTCACCCACGCATACCAGGGGTTCTGCTGAACCCAACCCTCTGGATTTACAGCGTTCAGAGAAGGTTAGAAGGGGGTCCATCTAGGCCAGATCCTTCATCTTAAAGATAAGAAGCTGACACCCAGGGAGGTCCCCCGATTCGCTCAAGCTCTTCCATCTCCAAGCCCAGGGCTCTTTTCAGGTCCCTGACAGGCTGAAGGCTCAAAGTCTGTCTGGCACTTGGGCCATGTTTCCCCACAGGTGCCATCACACAGAGGGCAGCTAAGTGGCACAGAATGCTGGACTGGGCGTCAGGAAGCCCCGAGTCAGAATCTCACCTTGGACACTTATCAGCTGGGTGGCCCTGTAAAATGGGGATGATAACAGCGCCTACCCCAGGGCTGTTGTAAATATTGAAAGAGCTAACATTTGTAAAGCGCTCTGCCTACCCTGAAGCTCTGGATAACCGAGCTTGAAGCTCCATACTGAGCTTTGGGCACAGCCAGAAGAGTCTCTTTAGCCCGAACTGCACCTAGGTCACCCTAAGAAGCCCAAATCTGGCCAACCCCTCAACCCTGTGGGGAGAACAAGGACCTGGGTAGCCCCGCTCTGGCTGCCTCCTACCCTGCCAGAGATCCCCACAGCCCACACTGAGGAAGGCTGCTGCTCCAGGGAAGACAGAGACCCTGGGTTCAAATTTCACTCTGATGTTTATGACTTGAGTGACCTTGGAGCTCAGGATTCCCATCTGCAGAATGAGGAGCCCTGCCCGGCTTCTATCCTTCCAGCTGAGATCACCCCTCCTCACCTGGCAGGTGTGCCGAGTACTAACTCAAAGACGAGGAGGGCAGGGCCGAGAATGGGGGCTAGGGAGAAGCTCAAGATTGGGAAGAGGAAAGGGAATGGAATGGCAGCGAGGAATTCTGGAATCTGAAGCCGGTATTCCCAGCATGGAATGGGCCCCACAGCAACTGTGAGCTAAATTGTCAGCAATGCCCTGGGGAAGCCAGACACTGACCGAGGGGAGGGAGGTGCTCAGGCCTGGTCAGATCCCTGTAGAACACAAGATCCATTCCACAGAAAACAGGGTGGCTCATACTCTGGGCTCTGTACAATGCCCCTGGCACAGAGGGAGAGAGGGAGGAAAGGAGGAAGGAGAGACAGAAGGAAGGCGGGAAGGAAGGAAAAAAAGAAAAGAAAGAAAAGACAGGAAGGGAGGGGAAGGAAAATACCCCCACACTGGCAGAACTTTGGCAGGTGTGGAACAGGCCACAGACAAACATGCTTCTTTTGCTTGTACACGCTTTCTCAGCTCCTCTGGCTCTGCCTTGCTACAGGGGCAAGGGTCCCCACAAGGTCCCCCCCTTTACACATTTGTTTCTGTCAGTTTCTGCCCAGTATCTGGGCCGCAGGCCACCAGCCCTCTGCTGCTGCCCCATGTGGGCTCCCCGGCTTGGGCCTTACCTGGAGAACATCTTCAGGGCCTCCTCCTTGATCTCCTGCAGCCACACCATGTCCTTGTTGTCCACGTTGCGCATAAACTCTGCCAGTTTGGTGTTGCAGACCTCCAGGATGCTCGCAGAGCCCATGGTGGTCCCCATGGTTCCACCTGCCACACCAGAGCAGAAGGGAAGGTAAAAATTATGATGCTCAGGGTTTTCAACCTGGGTCACCTGCTGGGCAAAACAGTCTGAGCAGGTCCCAGAGTGCTCAGGGGGAAGGGCGGCCAGGCCCAGCCTGTAAAGCCACACCCATCCCTCCACTGGCAGCTTCCTGGGATGCCAAGAACGCCTAGCATTCGCTGCAGCGGCGATCTAGATGCCCTGACGTCTGTGCGCGCTGATGAACTTCCCTTCTCCCGCCCCAAGTCCCAAGTCTGCCCCTCGGCCTGGGCCACATACTCTCCCTCCACCCTTCCTGCAGACCAGAGATCTCAGAAAGGCTGAATGTTTCTCAGGAATCAAACCCACAGGTATAAAATCAAGTCTACTCAGTCTGGGAAGGATGTGTCCATCAACTACCCAGCCTGGTGACCACTTCCCTGTATGTGTTATCTCCCCCGGGAGAATATAAGCGTTCCATGAAGACAGGCACTGGCTTTGCTTACTTGTATCCCCTGCACTAAGCCCAGGGCCTGGCACTCCCTCCCTCCCTCCTTCCCTTCCTATTTGTCATCTGAAAATTGTCAAGCTGTCAGAAGCTTCAACAAGTCCCATTTCATTTTTGTGTCTTGGCAGAAGCTGGGAGGTCAGCGCCCAGCACCCAGGACAACGCCTGGCCAGGAGAAGGTGCTTAACAAGAGGCTTGGTGATTGGCTGGAGGGCGGCCGGAGCCAGTGAGCGGGAGCCAGTGAGCATACATCTGGGGCCCCGGGGAGGGAGGCTGGGGCAAGGAAGAGAGAACTGAAGGGAGAGGCCTGGAGGTCACACCTCACCTCTCTTACTCTCTGCCCTCACACATGGGTCAGAAATCACTGGCTGCCGGGGTCCCAGCTGGCCCTCAATCTGATCCCAGGATCTGGAGGCAAGCACAGACCTGCTAACAAGGTGGGGCCGGCCCAGATGGCAGGCTGGCACTATTCTCCCCCACGTGCTTTACCCCCCAAATGCAGTCCCCTGCTCACCAAGGAGTGGGCTAAGGACTCGGGCAGGCCTGCCCGGAGGAGGGCACAGGGGCGCCAGGAGTAGCCCACACAGTCATTTCATGCTGCTGCCCTGCACATGCAGAATCTGCAAGAACCCAACATCCCTCCCTCTGCTGGTCTGCTGTTCTCCAGCCTAGTACCCAGCACACCACAGCTCACCAATGTCAAAAAGCCCCCTCCTCACTCTGATCAATTCCATTCAACTCAACACCTGGATTTCCAGCTAGAGGGAAGGCAAGGCACCAGCTAATCCATCCCCCACAGGAAGAACCCATGGCCCGGGGAGGAACACACACAAAGGCACAAACTAGGGCGAAGGCAGACAATGCTGCCAGGGCTCTTCCCTGATGACTCACATCCATACCAGCCCCAGCTTGAGGTCAGCAGGTCGCATCAGCAAGGTGAGCCCGTAATTCCAGAAGGTAACAGGACAGCCAGGCATAAAGCGGGGAGTGTGGAGAGGGGAACCAGCCAGGCCTACACACCCATCCAAGCCCAACCAGGAACAAAACCCCTGGCTGCAAAGGGGACTTGGGACCTCAGGTCCATTATTATTATTGATAATAACAATTTTAAAATGCTTTAAAGTCTGCAAAGCACTTTACATATATTACCTTACTTGGTCCTCACAACAACACTGGGCCATAGGTGCTATTACTGTTCCCATTTACAACTGAGGAAACTGAGGCAGACAGAGGTTTGGTGACCTGCCCAGGGTGTTTACACAGCTAGTAAGCGTCTGAGGCCAGACCTGAACTCAGGTCTTTCTGACTCCAGGCCCAGAGTTCCATCCACTGTGCCACCAGCTGAGGGAACATGACACCGGGCGCCCTCGGAGGAGACAGCCCCGACACGGGACCCACCGATGGCCCCGTGGGGACCGCATGGAGGGCCACAAACACTGTGACAGGTGCCTGGGCGGCATATCTGACGCAGAGCCAACATTTGATACCCAAGGCCCACAAGAGACAAAGATGAACAGCAACCCAACCCTTGCCTTCACAGAGCTTGTGGTCTATCAGGGGAGCTCTGACGCACGCACGCATGTGCGCGCGCACACACACACACGTCAGTGTAATTACAGACAAGAGTGTAAGGAGCCAGGCCAAGCCCTTCAGGGAGGGGGAGATTTGGGGGATAGGGATTCCTCTCAGCCTTAGGGTCTCTGATCAAACTGTTCTCTGCGGGGTCCCTGGGACAAACAAAGGGGGGTGTTCAAGTGCCTTCTATGGGAGGCACTTCATCAGAAGAAGAAAAAACCAGCCAAGAATCCACAGCCCAGCCTCCCCTAGGGATCCGAACCCAGACCAGACAACAGATGCTCCCCTCACCCGGACCCAAACACATCCCTGCCCCACTCATGCTTACCAACAGGTCTGTGGCCACACCAGGGAGACCTTATCATACCTCGGGCTCCCAGGCCCCATTTTTTGGCCATTTCTCTACCACTAAAGCCAACAAGGAACCTTCAAAACCAACTGTCCCTTTAGAAGTCAGGTAGACAGTTGAGGTTCCAGAATTCCATGGGGGTTGGTGAGAGAAGGACCAGTAGGGGAGAGCCGGTGGGCAAGCCGTGAGGGTCTGGCCGAGTCTGGCAGTGAAGCTGGCTGGTTTTGCCATTCACTACTCATGTGACCTCAGGCAAGTCATGCCCCCATCCCCTTGCCTCAGTTTCCTCATCTGTAAGATGAGGGGGATGGGTGCCCTCCAGGGGTCCTTCTTGCTCTAACACGCAGATGGCTCATTTCTTTTTCCTGAAGGCCCTACTCTACAAGACTACCCAGAGAGCCAAAATGTCTTTCCCCTCTTCGGTTCCCAGATGTTTTCAGATGTAGCAGTCTAAGACTAGGTATGGCAGAAGTAAAGGCATATTTGAGAGAGTCAGTCTGGAGATCTTCGAAATGGAAAAAAAATCCTGACAAATGTCTTATTAAATTCTTTTAAATCAGCAACTCTAAAGAAGAACAGTATGGCCTATTAGAGAGGGGTGGCCTCAGTCTGGCTAGATGACCAGGGCTGAATCTAATCTGAGACATCCTGGCTGTGTAACCCTGGGTAAGTCACCGAACCATTCAGGGCTCAAGGCAACTCTCTCAGAACTCCCAGATTACAGCAAAGGGGCAACTCTGCATTGGTAGAGGGAGCTGCCTCACAGGGAAGTCCCCCAGACCAGTGAACTCACAGATTTAATCCTTATCCCTGCAGAGAACCAGGCCATCAACACCCCAGAGGAATTAACAGTGTGTGTGTGGGGGGGGGGACACAGTGCAACGGAGGATTGAGTTTCTGGCACGACATAAAGACACAATCGACTTCAGAGGAGCACCCCCAAAGCCCAAGGAGGAGGGGCCAGAGAAAAGTGGGTGTGTTTGCTCTGAAAGAGCCCGCCCAGAGAAATGGATCACTCCAATAACATCCCTGAATGACATCAGAATTCAGATTCCACAGAGCCCAATCCTGGCCCTAGCAAAGTTCTGACAGGAGAAAGGTGTTATTTTTAAGTGTGGACTGCTTTGTCTTGCAGTCTGGCCAATACATCAGTCTGGTTTGCTTCACTTCTTTCTTTAACATAACAGAGCTCACAGCTGGGGCTTTTTTTTTTTTTGGCGGCGGGGGAGGGAGGGAGATTGTGAATGGTCTTAAGAAATGACTGGTGCAAAAAAAAATAAAACAAAGATTTTTTTTTTAAATTAGTGATTAGAAAAAAAAAATGAGTGGTTATAGGAAAATCCTCCCTCTACAAGGATTTGGCTTTAATTACCAAGTTCATCCACATTCAGAGGCTTCTCTCCCCCTGCCCCCCAGGGCAATCAAAACAACCCCACACCAGGCAGGGCCTGTCCTAAGACCATAAATAACTTGTGGCCTGGCTCCCGAAGCAGCGGCCTGCACTTGCCTGGGGGCACAGGCGATGCCTGGCCCCGGCCGCCCTCTCCCTCCCAGTACAGGGCTCGACGAGGGACGGCTTTGGATCAGTCCATCCACGGCCAAGGGCAGCTGGCAAGTATTCTACCTCTCCCTCGGACCCCTACGCTCGCTGCCCTCCCCAGCGGAGCCCCACTTACTGGCAGGGACGGGATGCAGGAAGCCAGGCCGGGGGGGGGCGGGGGTTTCCTCCCTCAGTCCCCCTCCCCTCCCAGTGCGGCCCCCGCCACAAGTCTGACCAGGCATCCAAGGCGAGGCCAGGCAGCGGGTTAAGCAGAGAGGAGGAAGCTGCGATCAGAGACTTAACGAGAAACAAGATGCCTCCGAACGCGCGCCGGTCACTGAACGAAGAAGAGCAGCCTGGCCCAGAAGACCCTGGAGCCCCGGCTGCCTCAGGTCAGAGGCAGACACAGGAGGGGGCTTCCCGGCGTCCCATGCCTCCTGCACCGTCCCATGCCTCCGGCACCGCACAGCGGAGGAGGGCGCGGGCCCTTCCCTCCAGCGGGTGACGGCTCGTCCGCCCTCGGCCCCTCCCAGCCTCGGGCGCCCCGCCCCCCAGGCCGGCAGCGCGGCTGACACCCGCAGCCAGTCGGTCCACAAGCCGCGCAAAGCACCCACTAGGTGCAGGCACCGAGGCAACTGCCGGGCTGCAGAGGGCAGGAAGCGGTGCTTGCCTGGGGCTCCAGAATCACCCCCGCCCTCAGCTTCCCCATCGGCTCGCCCCCTCTCCCCCTCGTGGGCTGGGGGCGCGCAAGGGCCTGCCTCAGTTTCCCCGTCTGCAAAAAGTCCCTCGCAGCTCTCAGGCTGTCATCCCGCGAGGGGACTGGGGTGGTGTAGACGCTCCGCGAGGCGGGCCTCCCAGAGGGGGGAGGGGGCCGCAGCTTCACCTGGCTCGCTCCGCTCGGCCCGGCCCGCGCTGCTCCACGTCCCGCGGCCCCCGCCGCGGCTCGAAGGCGCCGCCGGCCCGGACTCGCGCCCCTCCGCCTGCCCGCCGCTCCGGCAGGCGCTGCGAGCCCGCTGCACACGCCGCTGCCGCAACTGGAGCCGCTGCGGAGTGAAACGCGGGCGAAGTGACGACTTTCAAAACTGAAGACGCGGCCAATCCCGGGCAGGAAGGGCCGGGCCGCCGCCGAGAGACCAGCCAATCGCCGTGCGGCTAGCGCCGAGCCGAGCGCCTATTGGCCAATGCGGGTGGCAGTCAACTCTCGTGAGGGGGGCCGGTCCGGGCCTCTTGCTTCCGCTTTTGGCCCTAGAGGCTCACCTGAGGGGAGGGGAAGACTGCAAGTCCCGGCGTGCCTCGCGGCGCCGCCGCCCCGCTCCTCCCACCGCTCATTAAGCCGGACCGTTAGTTAGCAGGCTTCTATTTTACTTCACTGGGTCTACGTCGAAGTCTCCCTTAGATGTCAACTTCCCGAGGGCAGGCGGCTCTTTGTATCTACGGATGAAGCACGTAGTAGGTGCTTGTGGAGGCTCGTCACGTGTTAGGCACACCAGCAAGCCATCTCCCATCTCCACGCCTTTGTCCAAGCCGCCCTCCCCACCTGTGCCTCTCAGAACCCCTGGCTCCCCCCCCCCACCCCGTCTAGTAGTCCCAGGAGAAATTCGTTTGTGTCTCAATCAACCATTGATTGAGCTCATGCTGCACCTGCAGGAAGCATGAGAACGAGGATAATAAGCCAAGCCAGCCCCAGCCCTCCAGGCACTTACATTCATTCTTCCCATTGGAAGGAAAAGCGTCTACACGGATCCATCCCCAGGGTCCCTGGAGCGGGAAAGGGGAGGGCGCAGGACGGGGAAGCCTGGTGTGCCCAAGTGCCCAGCAAATGGTGGGGTTGGGCTTCTCTCCACCGTTTGGCGGCCCAGGGTGGGGGGGCACCTCCAGCCACCTTTGGAGCCCCCCAGCGCACACGGCCTGTCCCAGGAGAGGGAGGGATGGAGAAAGAGGCGGGTCAGCCAAGGGAGGAAAAGGGGGTGCTTGGAAGGCAACTGGCAGGAAAGTGAGAAAACATTCCCAGCTCAAGGCCAGGCCCGGAGGGGAAGGGGCCACACAGCAAGGGCAAACGAGACCCTCTGCTTTACCAGGGCCTTGTCTAAGGCTTGGGGACTTGGGCAGGGTGCCCCGGGGTTTCAAGATGCAGGGAAACTCGTCAATCACTAGCAGTTCGATATAGAACCAACAACACCCAGCAGCAGGAGGTAGAAAGAAATTCCATTTAAGGGGCAGCTCGGGGCCTCAGTGGATAGAACTCTGGCCTTGGAGTCAGGAGGACCTGAGTTCAAATGTGACCTGGCACTTGACGCTAGCTGTGTGACCCCGGGCAAGTCACTTAACCCCCATTGCCTCACGAAAAAAAAAAAAAAGAAATTCCATTTAAAATAACTGTGGATGATATAAAATTACTTGGGAGTCTACCTGCCAGAGAAACCCAGGAACTACATGAACACAATTACAAAACACATTTCACACAAAGTCAGATCTGAAGGGTTGGAAAAATGTTAATTGCTCATGGGTAGGCTGAACGAATATAATAAAAACAATTCCACCTAAACTAATTTAATTATTCAGTGCCACACCAATCAAACTACCAAAGAATTACTTTGTAGAGCTAGGAAAAATAATAAAATTCATCTGGAGGAACAAAAAGCCAAGAATATCAAGGGAATCAATGAAAAAAAAATGTGACAAAAGGGGGCCTCGCTGTACCCGATCTCAAACTGTATTACAAAGAGGTAATTATCAAAATAATCGGGTGCTGGCTAAGAAATAGTGGATCAGTGGAATGGGTTAGGTGCATTATACACAGTACTACATGACCATAGTAATCTGGTGTTTGATAAACCCAAAGACCCAGACCTTTGGCACCACAACTCATTATTTGACAAAAATTACTGGGAAAACTGAAAAATAGTTTGGGCGAAACTATGTATCGACCAGCATCCCACACTGTATACCAAGATAAGGTCAAAACGGTCACATGACTTAGACCTGAAGGGTGATATCATAAGCAAAGTAGAGGAACACGAAATAGTTTACCTGTCAGATCCATGGAAAGGGAAGAATTATAACCGAGCAAGAGAGAGAGCATCATGGGATATAAGATGGATAATTCTGATTACATTAAATTAAAAAGGGTTTGCACAAACAAAGCCAATGCAGCCAGGATTAGAAGGAAAGCAGAAAGTTGGGGAAAATTTTTTATGGTGTCTCTGATAAAGGCCTCATTTCTCAAATGTATAGAGAACTGAGACAAATTTATAAGAATACAAGTCATTCCCCAGTTGACAAATGGTTAAAAGATTTGAACAGGCAGTTTTCAGATGAAGAAATCAATAGTCATGTAAAAAAATTCTCCCAGTGACTCAATTAGAGAAATGCAAATTAGAACAACTCCGAGGTACTACACATCTCTCAAATTGACTAATATGATAAAAAGAAAAGGGCAAGCGTTGGAGGTGATGTGGGAAAATTGAGACACTGATGCACTGTTGGTGGAGTTGTGAACTGATCCAACCATTCTGGAGAGTAATTTGCAACTATACCCAAAGGGCAATCAAACTCTGCATACCCTTTAACCCATCAAGCTACTAGGCCTGTATCCCAAAGAGATTTAAAAAAAAAAAAAAAGGAAACCGAGGGGCATCTAAGTGGCACAGTGGATAGAGCACTGGCCCTGGATTCAGTAGGACCTGAGTTCAAATCCAGCCTCAGACACATAACATTCACTAGCTATGTGACCCTGGGCTAGTCACTTAACCCCATTGCCTAAACCCCCCCCAAAAAAGGAAAAAGGACCTATATGTACAAAAATATTTATAGCAGATCTTTCTGTGGTGGCAAAGAATCAGAAATTGAGGGGATGCCCATCAATCGGGGGATGGCTGGAGAAGTCGTGGTATATGATTGTGGTGGAATATCACTGTGCTGTAAGAAATGACGAGCAGAATGCTCTCAGAAAAGCCTGGAAAGACATGAACTGATGCCGAGCAAAACGAGCAGAACCAGGAGAACATCGCATGCAGCGACAGCCACATCAGATGATCTGACTTGGCTATTCTCAGCAATCCAATGATCCAAGACAATTCTGAGGGAGTCCTCCCGAAAACCGCTCCGCAGCTCCCGAGAATGAACGGGCAGAGCCTGAACGCAGGTAGAGGCACACTGTTTGTTTACTTTACTTTCTTGGGTCTGGGTTTCTTGGTTGTGTTTTCTTTCACCACATGATGAACACATATAATTTTTATCAAACTGCTTGTCTCTATTCTTGTCTCTGGGAGGGAGGGAGGGAGAGAACAGCGTATAGCTTGCTTCGGGAGCATCCTTTTGCCTTACACGGAGCTCCCTGGGAGCAGGCACAGTATTTTGCTTCCTTCTGCATCCCCAGTGCTTAGCACAGCGCCCGACACATAGCAGGTGGTTGACAAATGCTTATTGCCTGGAGAGGGTGAGCTCCCCGCCACAAAGAAGCAGAGTCTACATTAGAACTCTGGGCCTCCCGCTCCAAATTCAACGCGCTTTCCTTTGTTTTGCGCTTTTGCACCCTCAGGACCCAGAGCGGTGCTTTGTACGCAGCAGGGGCTCCGGCAATGGGCTCCGGCAATGGGCGAGGAACGGAACAGAACTTGAAAAGCCGCAAGCGCCCATGGA